CATTTGGAAAAAACTAATTTTTTTAAATATAAATATACGAAATAAGCTGTGCCGTCTAAAATTCCTTCGTTTGTAGAACTACCCAAATAAGAGTTCCGCATTTATCCATTTCTGTTATTACCTTAAAAATAGAGGGATTTCGAATTACCAATTACTTCGAAAGCACTTTGAAAGGGCTTAGGCCCTTTAAATTACAAATTACAAAGCACTTGTTGAATTGCAGTGCTTCTAAGCCCTGAAAAGACTGGAAACACATTTTTAAGCACAAAGGACTAAAGCTTTGCCTTTGACTATTTTGTCACTGTTATAAACATTACTGAGGTGTGCGCACTTAGATACGTGACAGTTGGACGACTTTTTGTTCGTGATAATCGCTTACGTAATCATTCTCCCCCTACGTCCAAATACCATCAAAAATAACACTCAGAAAACTTCTAAAAATGAAGTTAATGTAAAATTCTAAAAAGCCTAGGGTTTTATAAAGCTTTGTGAAGATTTCGGTTCTTCAAATAGAATATTATACAGTCACCATTCAAATCTTCAGTAATTTTATCATCATTAGGAACATTACCTTTATTCCTTCATCATTACAAGGTTTTAATAACTCTTTATTATTTTTACCGGATAACCGGTAGCTGTTAACCACAGCGGTTAATGGTTTATGTCTTCGTTCTGATGGACTTTCCTCACTTCACTTATTGCCGCAAAGAGAATGGGGACCAGTCTCACACAGGTGATACTATTTCCACTGTTTCTTCCGCATCCACAGAAGTCGGATTTTGTCGGCAACTGGGATGTCCGGAAGGAAACTGTCTTATCGAGACACCTTCAACATCAGAACTGCGTGAAATACAATAGTTCAAAATTTTCATACAGGGATTTCCAGGATGACAATTTGACCTGAGGTGAATAGTGTGAGGCAGCTCGGACAGCAACAACAACATATATAGGAACCAAACGAACGAAACCAACGACCAAAACCACCAACTGTGATGTAAGGTATCAGTTTTCTCGACTTGTCAAGGTTTCAATCCCTTTCCAGGTCCTCTAAACGGTGTTGGTTTAGGATAAAGTCTTCTGCTCAAAACTGTGACGTTCCCAAAGGTATTTCTTTCCCTGCTCGATGCAACAATCGATAGGTATCTCAGGCAGCTGAAGGGCTTGATTTTTCTGGGATCCCTCTTCTTCTGTTAATTGTTAATTTTACATCATTTGAAAAATAACCACTACAGTCAGGTTTCATGTAGACGAACGAACTACTTTTCAAATACACACTTTTAAGGTTCGATGAAGTACTACACTTATAAGTGAAAACCACAGGTGATGTCGCAAAAACAATCCACAAATTCGTGTCCACCTGCTGAACCAAGTGTTCCATTTTTAGGCTTTTAATATTGCAACTTTTTGGAAATTCGTCCCGACTGAATAATAGCATTACTTCACATATTTCGTGGATCGAAGAATCATAGATTTGAAGACCTGCAGCAAAGTATTGTTCTTCGACGTGAATCAATCGGTCAATGGAATATAAACCGATATAGGTACTGTAATTTATCTTTTGAAATTGCCAAATGGGCAAATTCAGGTAGAATAGTGCGAAAAACATTGTTAGTTTAAATAGCAACAGAACANGGTTCCGGTGGTCTGCCGCACATCGAAAAGAAGATGAATAACGTAGCGTCAGGTAAAGGAGCAGATGCTAGCAAATATTTACAGAGTAAGCAAGCTAAAAGGAAAAGTCTGATTTATTTTTATTCTACACTAATCCCGCTTGTTGATTTTTACTATAATGACGAACGACATCTTACCGATATTGGTAAAGATAGAAGCAGTTCGATTAGAGGGAGGGGAGGCTGAAAACATAAATTTACCACCTTACATTTATTTCAAAAATTTCTCAACCCAATCTTGGAATATTTTGTTAATTAATTTGATACAGCATTTTAAAAAACTGAAATTGGCAAGCACTGGATTGAGGCAAAAATTAGACCGGGGATACTTTTATCTAAGCTAGAGATAATTTCACGTAAAAATATACACATAGGTCCAACCATTTAAAGGATTGAGTAAATAACTTCAAAAATGTATTTTGGCAGAAAAGTTATAAACGATACATTTACAATTTTCTAATATAAAACGAAATTTGTTTTTGAATTTTTTCTAACCTTATGATATATTGGGGTATCATTGACAAAAAGTTTTTGAGAGAGTTTTATGTGAGAAATTTTTAGTTCTTTCGATATTTTAAAAATAAAAGTGCCTACAGTAGAAATTTTTAAATAATTGTTCAGAAAGTAGTTTTGTTTCATTTAAAGTTAAAACTACTAATGTTTTCCTAACATCGTGGATATCAATAATCTTTCTTATTTCGTTTCTAATGTGCAACAAACACAATAATAATTTTGTGTTGCAAAATATTCGAGTTGCAATTACTCAATTAACAATCATGACTTCTAAAATAAATAAACGCAAAGGATACTCCAATAGTATAATTATCTGGTACCTAATTCCTACATACTACATTTGCTAGGAAAATTAGGCAACTTTTAGATGAACTGTGTAGAAACAGTTACTCAGAATCTTTCAAATGACAAAAAATAACAAATTGTACGAACCATTACGTATGAATTTGCTTTTCTTTGTAGTACATTGAAATATGTAACGATTTCAGGAGATCACTAGAAAAAGGGCACCAATTTGTAAACTGCGTTTCATCATCATCATCATAAGGTCGTCAGTCCTAAAACTGATTGGACATGCACCTCCACTTTTTCCTATCCTGTGCTAAACTTCGCATTTGCATAACATTCGGGTCCCTTGAATTCTCGCTTTCCCAGATTTTACTGTATTTGTTTTGCGACCAACGGTATTTCAATAATCGTCAAAAGGCTTTCGTTAAAGAGAAATGTTTTACTTTTTATAAGTAAAAGGGATTTATTAAGATTTGAGTTATTTAGTGGAAATGGCAACTCTTTTTCCTCAATGTGTTTTGCATTTTCTTTTAGTTCCAAAGAATTGACTGGACGACATAATATTGGGTAAAACGACAATTTCTTTGATTAAACTAACTTGCTGTTGTAATTCAAGAGTCAATTCTAATAACAAAAAGGTGGTATTCAGAACAGTTACGGTAAACTTAGTTTTATGAACTTGGTCACCCAAGTTTTAACTTACGAGAGCAAGTTCCTCGAAATTCTTATTAATTATCTCTTCGTTAGCGTTTATACTAGTTAAGGTTTTATTAAAACTTTTCATTGTTGTTTTAGTAATATGTAAAGACTTTTCTACAATAGCCAAAGTCTTTCTGTTCGAGTCTTGTAATTGTGAAATAGCGTCATTTAGTCTTATTTCATCGTCCAGGTCCACTACACCAAATAATGTATGTAACCCCGTCCCGAATAAATTAAACCATTCACGTTTTTGTCTGCGAGAAGAAAACAAGTTATTAATATCTTTCAAATGTTTCTCCAATTTGTTTAATGCGAATTTTAGAGTGAGGTGGTGATTGTGTGAATTTGGAAGGTAAATAAACGACTTGATTTTCTAATTTTGAAGTTTTCCATATAACATTTTAACTTTGAAATATCTTACATTACTATGCGACGGACATGACTCTATCTAATACTTAAAAAAGCATTTTTGCCGCCCTTTGCCACACACCCCCCCCCCCACCACGCTACGCCACTGGTAATCAATAAATATAGACAAACTACCTATCCCAATAGAATCATAATTCCAATTTTCATTAGGCAGCTGTTTTTCTATACCTAGTTAAATACACAGACCAACAAAAAAATGTTTGTAAAATCTTTTTAAATTAATTTACCTAAATCGTATGTATTTTTTAGTGTTGAAATCGTATTCGGTATCAGTTTTTTTTTATCACCTACAATTTTCCCACAATATGACATTGTGTATTGTATAATTGTATATTTCAACAAATAGGGAAAAATTAAATTAATTATATTAAATTAAAAATAAAAAATGTAGTTCTTAATGAAGTTGCAATTTTCTCTTATAAATAATAGATTACTAAATATTAGATATATGTTTGCGAAGCATTCTGTTGCTCACTGTGAAGTGTCCAACAGTAATCACCCATCATGTTTACATTACACCTTCCTTGGTATCGTTTCTCCATTTCTTTGATGTCCTGATGAAACCGTTCCCCTTGCTCTTCACTGACATCATCTAAGTTTGTAGGAAAAAAGTCAAGATGGTTGTGCAAAAAGGGGACTTTAAGGCCCATCAGACAACCAAGATTTTTAAAATTGTTTATCATGTTAGATATGATAAGTTCATAGTTAGGATCTTTTACATTGCCCAAAAACTTCTTCACAACTTCTCTAAATGATATCCAAGCCTCTTTTTCCTTTGTACTCATCGTTGCTTCGAAGTTGGTATCGAGCATCAATTTACGAATATCAGGCCCAACGAAAATCCCTTCTTTCAGTTTAGCTTCTGATAAATGAAGAAATTTTCTACATAAATATTTAAAACAATCACCATCTTTAGGCAAAGCTTTTACAAATTGTTTCATTAAACCCAACTTAATGTGTAGTGGTGGTAAAAGAATCTTTTTGGGGTCAACCAAAGTTGTATGCAAAATATTCTTCTGGCCGGATGTCAAAGTTTTTCTTAAAGGCCAAGAAAACAAAAAAATGCCCAATTTATCAGAACTACCAACCTGATTACATTTTATATTATTGTCAACACTATAACACTAGAAAATATTGCCAACATAAAAATATTTTAACGGTTAAAAATATTTGTTATACATTTTGGTTAATAAAATTTACTTTTATTTAATATTGAAATGTGAGAAAATGGAGGGTGATACGACTTTTTCGTTATTCTTTTCGGAATCAGCACACCAAATTACATAGAAATTAGTTAAAATTATTAAAAAAGTTTTTTCGTCGTTGACCTGTGATATTATTGCTGATGTTTGTTTTTCTTTATTCTCTGTACCCGGCACTACCGCGTACCCACCCGTCGTCATTATCCGGTACTGTAAATATGTAGATATTGGTATTTTTGCGTACCAAAACACTAGTACATGGTTCAAACTATTAGAAACTGATGATTATACCAAGAAATTGGTATAGGTATTTGCTGTTACTATGAGACGATCCTGACTCCGTCCAATAACAATGAACACGTTTTTGTTGTCCCTCACGTTTCCGCCGCCCAAGACCATGGCACCCTTTGTTCCTCCACCTACCAACGACAATTTTGGAAAAATTCGGTAGGAATTCTTTGATGAATTTCAGTTAAAAATTAGTTTTGGAGTAATAAAGTAGAAATTGGTAGACAGATATTTAAAAATTAGTATACGAAGAAGTTACTGACTAACGTGTAGTACCTATTAACTAGTATACACTGGTAAAAAATTATAAACCTGCAGATCCAAAACTTCGTCAAAACGATCTCTATTTCCATACCTAAGTGGCAATGGGAAGAACGTTAACCTTTAAATGATGTCTAATTTGCTGGTTCCGGTGGTCTGCCGCACATCGAAAAGAAGATGAATAACGTAGCGTCAGGTAAAGGAGCAGATGCTAGCAAATATTTACAGAGTAAGCAAGCTAAAAGGAAAAGTCTGATTTATTTTTATTCTACACTAATCCCGCTTGTTGATTTTTACTATAATGACGAACGACATCTTACCGATATTGGTAAAGATAGAAGCAGTTCGATTAGAGGGAGGGGAGGCTGAAAACATAAATTTACCACCTTACATTTATTTCAAAAATTTCTCAACCCAATCTTGGAATATTTTGTTAATTAATTTGATACAGCATTTTAAAAAACTGAAATTGGCAAGCACTGGATTGAGGCAAAAATTAGACCGGGGATACTTTTATCTAAGCTAGAGATAATTTCACGTAAAAATATACACATAGGTCCAACCATTTAAAGGATTGAGTAAATAACTTCAAAAATGTATTTTGGCAGAAAAGTTATAAACGATACATTTACAATTTTCTAATATAAAACGAAATTTGTTTTTGAATTTTTTCTAACCTTATGATATATTGGGGTATCATTGACAAAAAGTTTTTGAGAGAGTTTTATGTGAGAAATTTTTAGTTCTTTCGATATTTTAAAAATAAAAGTGCCTACAGTAGAAATTTTTAAATAATTGTTCAGAAAGTAGTTTTGTTTCATTTAAAGTTAAAACTACTAATGTTTTCCTAACATCGTGGATATCAATAATCTTTCTTATTTCGTTTCTAATGTGCAACAAACACAATAATTTTGTGTTGCAAAATATTCGAGTTGCAATTATTCAATTAACAATCATGACTTCTAAAATAAATAAACGCAAAGGATACTCCAATAGTATAATTATCTGGTACCTAATTCCTACATACTACATTTGCTAGGAAAATTAGGCAACTTTTAGATGAACTGTGTAGAAACAGTTACTCAGAATCTTTCAAATGACAAAAAATAACAAATTGTACGAACCATTACGTATGAATTTGCTTTTCTTTGTAGTACATTGAAATATGTAACGATTTCAGGAGATCACTATAAAAAGGGCACCAATTTGTAAACTGCGTTTCATCATCGTCATAAGGTAGTCAGTCCTAAAACTGATTGGACATGCACCTCCACTTTTTCCTATCCTGTGCTAAACTTCGCATTTCCCTAAAACTAGAACAACCCACATCCTTAACTATTTGCGAACAGTAATCTAACCTAGGACTAGCTCTACCCCTCCTAACTCCTGTTTCTGCCTCTAATATATCTCTAACTAGACCTTCATGCATGAGATGATGTCCTACCAACCTATCTCGCCTATTCTTTATTGACTTCCATAGAGTTCTCTGTTCTCCTATTCTTTCTAATACCTCTTCATTTCTAACCTTAATTATTCTGAAAACACTTTTACTTTACACCAGGAATGTTGCCTTTCAATGTAAAACTACGGTGTTTTTCAATAATAAAACAATTAAGTCTTCGTAACTAAAAACTAATCTTTCGGCAACACATCACTGAACTAGTCGATATTACACAAAAAGAGTAGTATTTTAAAGGACTTTATTAAAAATGATAGGTACAGGCCCAAAACGTAGATCTAATAATTAAGAATTAAAGTAATCTATTGTTTTTAGTAGCTTATATATTAAATGAAAGTCATTAAGAATCATTAGCAATAATGAACTAAAAGTAAAAGTGATGCTAACATAACAGTACATAGTAGGTATCATCATCACAAGGTTATCAGTCCTAAGACTGGTTGGACACGCACCTCCATTCCTTCCTATCTTGAGCTAATTTTCGCATTTTCCTAAAACTAGAAGAACCCACATCCGTAACTATTTGCCAACAATAATCCAATCTTGACCTACCTCTACTCCATCTAACTCCCGTTTGNTTAAATAATTGTTCAGAAAGTAGTTTTGTTTCATTTAAAGTTAAAACTACTAATGTTTTCCTAACATCGTGGATATCAATAATCTTTCTTATTTCGTTTCTAATGTGCAACAAACACAATAATTTTGTGTTGCAAAATATTCGAGTTGCAATTATTCAATTAACAATCATGACTTCTAAAATAAATAAACGCAAAGGATACTCCAATAGTATAATTATCTGGTACCTAATTCCTACATACTACATTTGCTAGGAAAATTAGGCAACTTTTAGATGAACTGTGTAGAAACAGTTACTCAGAATCTTTCAAATGACAAAAAATAACAAATTGTACGAACCATTACGTATGAATTTGCTTTTCTTTGTAGTACATTGAAATATGTAACGATTTCAGGAGATCACTATAAAAAGGGCACCAATTTGTAAACTGCGTTTCATCATCGTCATAAGGTAGTCAGTCCTAAAACTGATTGGACATGCACCTCCACTTTTTCCTATCCTGTGCTAAACTTCGCATTTCCCTAAAACTAGAACAACCCACATCCTTAACTATTTGCGAACAGTAATCTAACCTAGGACTAGCTCTACCCCTCCTAACTCCTGTTTCTGCCTCTAATATATCTCTAACTAGACCTTCATGCATGAGATGATGTCCTACCAACCTATCTCGCCTATTCTTTATTGACTTCCATAGAGTTCTCTGTTCTCCTATTCTTTCTAATACCTCTTCATTTCTAACCTTAATTATTCTGAAAACACTTTTACTTTACACCAGGAATGTTGCCTTTCAATGTAAAACTACGGTGTTTTTCAATAATAAAACAATTAAGTCTTCGTAACTAAAAACTAATCTTTCGGCAACACATCACTGAACTAGTCGATATTACACAAAAAGAGTAGTATTTTAAAGGACTTTATTAAAAATGATAGGTACAGGCCCAAAACGTAGATCTAATAATTAAGAATTAAAGTAATCTATTGTTTTTAGTAGCTTATATATTAAATGAAAGTCATTAAGAATCATTAGCAATAATGAACTAAAAGTAAAAGTGATGCTAACATAACAGTACATAGTAGGTATCATCATCACAAGGTTATCAGTCCTAAGACTGGTTGGACACGCACCTCCATTCCTTCCTATCTTGAGCTAATTTTCGCATTTTCCTAAAACTAGAAGAACCCACATCCGTAACTATTTGCCAACAATAATCCAATCTTGACCTACCTCTACTCCATCTAACTCCCGTTTGTGCCTCTAATATGTCTCTGACTAGACCTTCATGCCTGAGAAGGTGTCCTACCAACCTATCTCGCCTATTTTTTATTGACTTCCATAGAGTCCTCTGTTCTCCTATTCTTTCCAATACCTCTTCATTTCTAACCTTTTCTACCCACGATATCCTCATCATCCGCCTATAACACCACATTTCGAACGCTTCTAACCTTTTCTTTTCCGCCGCTCCCACTGTCCATGTTTCGCACCCGTACAACGCCGTGCTCCAAACATACACCTTTAACAACCTTTTTCGAATTTCTAAATTAACCGTTCGCGAGCATAGAAGTGACTTCTTTTTATTAAAGGCGACACGACCCTGCGCTATCCTCTGCTTTATATCCCTACTACTCCTTCCATCCTGACTTATCTGACTTCCTAGGTATCTAAAATCAGCCACTTCTTCTAATTTTTCGTCTCCTATCTTTATATTCGCTCTTTCCCTACTTTTTCTTCCCTTGCATACCAGTATTTTAGTTTTACTTTTATTTATTTTCATACAGTACTGATCTGTCAGTACCGCTTCCATTTTATTTAAAGCTATCTCTAGGTCCTCCTTGCTAGATGTTAATACTTCTTAGGCATGAAGGTCTAATCAGAGACATATTAGTGGCAGAAACAGGAGTTAGGAGGGGTAGAGGTAGACCTAGATTGGATTACTGTTCGCAAATAGTTAAGGATGTGGGCTGTTCTAGTTTTAGGGAATTGCGAAGTTTAGCTCAGGATAGGAAAGAGTGGAGGTACGTGTCTAACCAGTTTTAGGACTGACGACCTTATGATGATGATGATCGTTAAACATATCGTCTCGCATACATTTCATGTAAGAATGAATCGAGGATGAAAAGGGGCCCTAACCTAACCTTACCTGAATGATTTCCGAGATATCGATAAAACATCCTCGTAATTTTTACCGCGCCAAACGCATACAGAGTAACTCACGAAATGCTACGGGGTAGGTTACATGGGAGAAATGTTGCACAATTTTATGCCTTATAGTTGCATTTCCTATTTGCTTTAATATTTTTTTTGTTTTTAAGGTTATGTTTTGAAACTTGACAGTCATGTGCCCTTTCTGATGGCAGTGTCAATAATATTCTAGGTTTATTAGGTTTTATTTTTTTATCTCGAAAAGAGAAAAAAATTTTGAATTCTATCACGTATAACATTCTATGTTCTGATTTAATCTTTTCATTAAATAAACTGAATTTTAAAAAGTATTTGAATGACACAATTTACAGGGGTGTGAACTACACAATCCGGGAATTGGAAAAAGTATGTTGTTTATGAAAAATTGCAGCATTACCACAGAGACAAATTAGGAGTGTGACTGACAGTGTCGCCAAATGTGCAACATTTGTTTGCAGAATAATGGTAGACGGTTCGAATATTTACGTTAGTTCAATAATTAGTTATTTAATTTTAACATATAACTTAACAATGATTAACGGTTTTTACTTTTGCCTACTAATTTTCTAATACTAGATACTAATTAACTAATAATCTCCAGATTCTCAATTTTTCTCCATCTTTTAAACAACCCCCATGCACCCCCGCCCTCGCAAACTTCAATGCAAGAGGGGGTCTAAAGTGCGAAATGGAAGGGGTTGTTTAAACCTTGTACATATTTTTAAACACATGCACCCCACCACCCCTAATCTAATCTTATTAGCGAGATATCAATGTTTGCCATCCCGTAAACATTTTGTGTAAGATTAGATCAAGAGTGAAAGAGGTGGAGGGGGTTGTTTAAATCATGTACCTATTTTTAACAATCCCTCCCCCTTCCCCTTTTCTTTACCTAACCTTACTGTATGATTTGCGAAATATCGACAGCACGTCGTCGTAGTAAAGACGTGATTTCCGCGCCCAATATTTATGTATATACCTATTCTTCGATATCGATACGAAATATACATTTCAAAAAAATTGGAGAGGTGTACGGTAATCTCCGCCATTACCCAATTACCTAATAAACATTATTTCGTTTATACTGACGTTGTTACAAAAGAATTTCAAAACGCATATTATATTGGAGATTCGTCACCATAAAGAGGTCCACAAGTTATTTACGTACTCACCTGTCCAGCATAATCCAACGAAGTCATCTTTGTGAGGGTTTTCTATATCACAATGTAATTCCCACGTGCCTAATTCTTTTCTCACTATAGCAATTTTGTTCTTATTTTCACTATTATTTCCTACATTGATTGTTCTTTGAATAGTTATATTATCTACTTCCGTCACCTGATTACTGGAACTCTCACCCGTGTTTTTTTCCGTATATTCGACAGTTATAAACTCCGTTTCTTTATCTGATTTTCCCGCGCCACAACAATTCGACATTTCGATTTTGTTTTTCACCTAGATAACTAGAACTTTTATTTTTGCAGGCTCCCGTTTTTCGCGAAGATTATCATTGCGGAAAAGCTGCGGAAGACGTTGCCATGGTTACAGACGGAAACTGGCGCCGGTGCCCGCACAACTTTAAAGGTCATACATCTCCTGAATAAACATTTATAAAACACGTAAATAGTATAATACTTAAATAACAACAATGATGATGCTTTACAGGATGTGCCCGGGGCATGATTTTTTAATTAGGTTCAAACAAATAACCGGACATAGACAATCATTTAAAAATAAATGAATAAATATTAGATAATAAAAATAAATAATGCTCCCCGTAATTTAATTTTTATACATTGTTATCACGATATTTCCGATTTTATATTATTTCTAACTTAAGAATAGATTGTTTATTTACACACTAGCATTTTCCGCACAACACCTNATATTTAATGGAATGAAATTTAAGTGACAGTCTTGTAATAATTGGCAGTTGCAGTGAGTAAATTCTTAATAAAGAATGAGGTATTTCTGTGTGTTTGATAATGTCATTAAAATTATCTCGAAGGTAACTGTAATAAATTAAATATCTTTCAGAAACCACATTAAGTAAATGTTATACAAAGTAGAAATTATAATTTGAATAGAGAAACCTAATATACACTAGCGGTGAAACTAGCTAAACAGTAGTCCAATAAATGCAAAGTTTTAAAAGGACGTTACGCATTGCTCAAAAGATTTTGAAAGCTCGATTAATTTAGGACAGTCATTATAAAACCAGAATATATATTCCACACATTCTCCAAATTATACACTTTCGCTTTTAGGACATGAAATGAGAAGTGAGAAACACTACATGACCAGGAATGGGCATCATGTGAAAAATATATTATATTATGATTACGAGAATTTACAGAACAGAAACACAATTTCTCATCAAAAATGTCGAGGTAATACCGTCAATGTTAATTTAATTTTATTTAAATAATTAAACATGTTAAAAGTAAAGTTATACAATTGTATATTTTTCAAAAAAGCCTACATTACTAATAAACGCAATACAAACACACATAAAATAACATCACAACGTTTAACAATTTTAGATATCGAATTTTCACACAAGACCGGCATTACACATTTGAAAAAAGTAAATCGTAAAAAATGAGGTAGTTTCTTTTAGTTGTTAATGCGTGGGCAACAAACACATTATTTATAGATGCTTAATAAATACTCAAAAATATACAATTACCAAAGTTTTTAAAGAACTGTCAATAAAAGTATCCACAATCAATTATACTTCTAATTTTTAACATTTTTACAGTAAACTATTTTTTTACATTCTCCCTTTTATAACAATTCATTTTTCACTTTTAGGGACAGTTACATACTATTAGCCATTAAGTAAAAAATTATTAACATAGTTTCAGATTTTGTATAATTCCATAGCTTAACACAAAATATTATACTAATCGTAAAAGTAAATACGTAAAAAAATGGTATTTTATGAACCAGTATTTGTCGTAGATACATTAAAGCGAAAAATTAAGAAGNTATAGAGTTTATACAAATCAAATACAGTCGAACCTGGATAAGTGAGAAAACTCCATAAGCGTCAAAAATAGTCAGGTCCCATCATTTTAGCCCCGAAAACCTCTATGAGTGACAGTGTAAGTACCTCTTTTAGAGAGAGTCATTTTTCACTTCTAGACCTCTGTAAGCGACAGTTTCTTACTCTAGACCTCTGCAAGCGAGATTGTTTACAATTACTAGACACCTGCAGCACACTTGTTCCTACCTGCTCGTGGTACTCATCCTCAACATTTGGTTTCAGTTGATAACAATCATTGGAGAAAGTATGTCTGTCGTTGTTCCCTCAAAATGTTGAAGCGAAAAATTAGTGATTTAATTTTTGATAAAATTTATGAAATTGAAAAACATATAATAACNAGCTGATTATAATCACCATCCTAGAACAAGCACAGAATTATACAAGAGCCAATACAATACTATAAACGTATGAGCACACCTTATTAAAACATGAACCAGTATTTGTCGTAGATACATTAAAGCGAAAAATTAAGAAGGTAAAAACTTATCTACACAACAATAGTATACAAAAAGATGTAATAGCAATTTACTTAAAGGTAAGTCTGCTTGTTAGTTATTCGATTTTGAAAGGGCAAGTTTGCGATAAAATCGTTACAAGAATTTTTTGGAAACATCATCCAAACGCATACAGAGTAACTCACGAAATGCTACGGGGTAGGTTACATGGGAGAAATGTTGCACAATTTTATGCCTTATAGTTGCATTTCCTATTTGCTTTAATAATTTTTTTGTTTTTAAGGTTATGTTTTGAAACTTGACAGTCATGTGCCCTTTCTGNCAATTTACTTAAAGGTAAGTCTGCTTGTTAGTTATTCGATTTTGAAAGGGCAAGTTTGCGATAAAATCGTTACAAGAATTTTTTGGAAACATCATACTGTTACTTTGTAATACGTTGTCCTTAAAGCCTACGGGTTTACCTGAGTAATAGTTGGTGTAAACGTGTTCAAAATGTGGAAAACTGCAATTTACTGGCATTGTTCTGTATAGACTTTCAGAAATCATTACAGGCTCTGCCCTGCGTCCTAAGCTTATGTTTAACTGTCCTTGTGGACTTTTAGTTTCATAATAAGGCTTCCATTCGTTAAATCGATTTCTTTGAAGCTCAAAGGTTTTCGTTAAACCATTATTAGTACCGGTTGCTAATGGAAACGTAGGTTCAGAAGCAATAGAGAACCTTTCATGTTCATTACAAGCAGAATTATTCATCGATGAAGGAAGTGAATAATAGGCTTTCTCCATACCACTATCTCGTGAGCAAAACCCGGAACTTTGACTAGAGCAACGACTTGGCGATGTAAAAAATTTATTTGGTGAGTGTTCATTATGCCAAAAACCCCCAGCAACCCATGAATTTTGAGCAGGATTTTGAAATTTGGAAGGGGATATGATGGGCTTTGGTCGAGGCACATTTGCATTAACAGTAAAAGAATTAAGACTATAGCTTTTTTTACAAGAAAATGGAGAGCTTACATCTCTATTTGCAAATGCAGAGTTACCTAGAGTTAAATTATTTAAACCTACATTTAAATCGGAACCAGTAAAATTGTTAGATTCTATTGATGATGAAAAGGGCGATTTTGATGGAGAAAATTTATTAGCAAACAGACCTTCTGGAGGTGAACCTTTTGGAGTAAACTGCCTATTTTTTGGGGATTCATCAATATTAAATTTTGGAGATGAATGTGTAGGCCTTTTATCACCAAACATCTGCAGACTTCTTTGCTTTTCAATACCTCGAAAACTGTGATTTAATGTTACATTCTGAGAATACTTATTTTCTTGTAGGTCCATATCTTCATAATTAGATGTCTCATCAACTAAGTTGCTCAGTTTTTTAAACTGGGTCGGTTTGTGTTTTAGGCTTTTAACATTACCATTTTTGTAATTTCTTGTATATGATGTTAGCAACGCAAATGAAATGAAAACCTACAATAAAATAAGAGATATAGTTTCTTGAAAAAGCACCTTTTTGGGTAAAATATGTTACATAAACTATTATAAATTATATTCTTCTTAATGAGCTGTTAGTTTTCGAATTTGTTGACCATCGTCTGAACACTTTTCTTCTCGACGTTTCAACGAGATTTTCCAAAAGATCTGTTCCAATGAACGATTCAAAACGGATATCTTCAAAATGGCAACCGCTCGTGTAGGCGAAACGTCGAAAAGAAAAATTTCCAGGCAACAGTCAACAAGCTCGAAAACCAATAGCACATAAGGCACGAAGGCTTACACAATGTATTCTTTTTAGTTTTCATAAAAATTTATTGTTATATTATTTGTTCAAATAAGAATTTATTTTTTTCAGATTATGTATCATATGAAATACGAATTACCTTAAAACAATCTATTGGCAAACTGTGCATTGAGCAAAGGGTTAGCATCATCAGAACAGTCCATGCTAACATATTTAGAAAGGAGGAAATGTTTCTTTTAGTTTTCCACAATAAAAGTGTCAATTGTAAAACAAATCCATTTATAAGCACTGATACAGCATTAATATTAATAAAAAGATATTTAATGGAATGAAATTTAAGTGACAGTCTTGTAATAATTGGCAGTTGCAGTGAGTAAATTCTTAATAAAGAATGAGGTATTTCTGTGTGTTTGATAATGTCATTAAAATTATCTCGAAGGTAACTGTAATAAATTAAATATCTTTCAGAAACCACATTAAGAAATGCAGCTGCTGTTGTATGTCTAAAAAGATCATTGAACACAAGTACAGACTGCAGCAATGTTAATATCATAAGACTTAATTGCAGCAATTTTAGACATAATCTAAACTTTACTGGCTTGCTTATGCTACAGTAATTATTTGCATCTAAAGGAATGATGCCCTTTCTTTTTAAATTTGAAATATTCAATCCCAATAAGGAATTCTGTTTGCGAATAGTGCTATTTACTGTTTTATCACATTGAGCACAGAGTTTGTATGCCCTCTCCAATTGTTTCCTGCAACATAAATATACTTGATGTATCTAATATTGTTTTGAGAAAAGCTAATCAACTCACTGAAAATGTTCAATTTCAATATCATAGTTTTCTTCATATAAAGGTATAAAATTGGCCAACTGATAGATCTTAAGTTGTTGATTATTGTTACAAAATTGGCATAAACCATTAACAGTATTAGAAATAACAGTCTTTCTACAGGCAGTATTTTTAGTATTAAGAAGTTCATCACTAAATTCTGGCAACAGCTGATTATAATCACCATCCTAGAACAAGCACAGAATTATACAAGAGCCAATACAATACTATAAACGTATGAGCACACCTTATTAAAACCATTATACTGTTCACAGTGTGAACAAATGAAACTATTATAATCATCATATGATACTTTAGTCCATTGGTTACAGAACCAGCAATTTACATTTATAGGAAGCCGGCGCCTTAAAAATAACATAAATTAATACCGGTGCCGGGATAAAATTTGGTGAACTTACCGTATTTTGAAATACAAATTTATTAACACTAACAGCAATAATGATGTAATTGTCAAATATGGTAGAATACGTAGAAGTATTTCTAAAAGAGTGTGTATTTTTAAATCGATATTATACTCCATTTATCTAATGCTATAATAAATAAAAACAATACTAGGATAACCTCACTTTTCTCCCTCCAAATATAAACGTGACTTGAGTCAACTCACATGCTCTCCATTACTGGGTTGCCAGTTCAATTTTAATTCCTTTAGATACCAGTAAAAATTACCTGTTCTGTATCAATTGATAGAAAAGTAGTCATAAAGAACTGACTTGGGAATATCGGGTAATCACTAATAGAGAACGAGAAAGTCCCCCTTTTTAGTATTTAATCGAATATTTGATGTTCATCAATCATTACCGATTATGGACGGAAAATAAAAGAAAACAAGTTTGAAATAATACTAAACTGACGGGAAAATAATTTTTATACTAAACAGAAAGATTTATGATTAATTAACATTTTAAGTAGATTAAAGTACATTTTATTAGTGGATAAAGCTGATCTACTAAAAAATGAATAACTTGGCAACTCAGCAATGATGAAGAGACCCGAGAAACTTGATTATATTTAGCATTTATTTTTTTTTTTTATTTATTGTTCAATTTCTAAAAATTACTGTTTATTTATACTGACCAAGTCATTAGCATGTATGCATATAAAAAGAATTTTTGTGAACAGATTTATTTGATACAAGTTCTGTTAAAAATTAGCTTGCAACAAAAATACTTAAACAAATAGTGAATAACTTTATATGTTAAAATTAAACTTTACTTGATACAAATAACAACACAATTTATTTAATTACAAAGTAATTCACTAACACACAAGAAAAATAACAATACATTTGGATTTCTGTTACTACCTATTAAGCTATCTGCTGTTGTTTATAACAGTGTCATATTTTACTCAGCGTTGCAAAGGTGGCATAATTGGCTGCATACCGCCGCCCGAAATTGCAGTATTGGGACCTAACAGCATCTACACATAGAAGGAAGTATGAATTAATATTCAACAATTCAATAGTCAAGATAAATAAATGGAAACTTACCAAAATGACTAAAAAAAACAATTAAATAAAAACTCTAATGTAGCATACCTGTTTATGTTGAGATCTTTGAGCTTCTTCCATTTGTAATCGTTCTACTTCGATAATTACCGGTGCAAATAATATAAGAGATGAAGTAACAACAATCCAAATAACATTTCGAGAAAAATTAAACAAAGACTTCACAGTAGACTTTGTTGACACTAGTGCAGTGTGAGTAGTATTTCTGAAAGGCTCAGGAAACATTTCTGATAGGCCCAATAATCTTTCTGATAGCGTTTCATCAGGCTATATATTATAAAGAAATGGGGATATGTTACTAAGATTGTTAAGGATCGATAATACCAGATACTGAATTGTATATACATACTGTGATTTTCAAGCTTACCTCATCGTCATAATTTTCTTCAATTGCAGGCTTATCAGGACTAAATTCCTTGGCGCTTCCTTCTTGGGAACCCATACCGCTATCGACTTCCTCTGACGACATGAGATATTTTATTTAACAACACTAACTCAAAAATAATAATAACAGTTAAATAAGTATTTTAACCGCATACACTTTGATACAGAATGTTGGCCAATTTTAATGGTGTTAAACATGAAACAGATTAATACACCGGTACATTGACCATTGTCGCCATGCTTACATTTGACGTCATAGATAATAGATACTGTTTGACGTGTTAGAAATTTGGAATTTGGATTATTGGGTTTATTCTTTTGAAGAATTTCCATTATTTCAACATCCATATTGTATGGTATGGATAGTGTAACTAGCACTCTTTCCATAGACATCGTACTATGCATCGACATATACTACTGAATGTGCATTAGTCGTATGTCGTAATAATTTCTTGGCTCCAAAACAGTGAGGAAGATGGCGTATAGACTAGTGCTATTTCTTTCATAACACGCAATTGGCTTCTCTGAAGTACGAGCGCAGGGCGTCCAAACAACGGCACTCGTGAGAAAGATAGATATTGTCCGAAACTTCGTTCCATCTTTTTTTTTTTTAGTTGTACCACAATTCTAACTGCTAGGGCACGTCCACCAGTATACGTCGATGATACGAAGATCGCTTTTAGCCATAGATAACTAATAAACTTTGTCAAATGTTCGAGTCACAAAGGTTGCGTTCAGCAAAACTGAGCGTATTTCAATGCGGCTCTATACGCTAGATTGGAGCGATGATAATTTGCTGATAACACAATTCTCAAGTGCACTGCAACTAAAAATAAAATTCTAAAATTACACATGTATATGTTCGACTTTGGTAACGTGCCTATCACGTAGTTGTGAACTACGCCGTGGATTCAGTTCATCAAGTAGATATTCATCTATTTAAATGGACCTTGTTGAGCATAATGAATTCCACTAAATGTAGCATTGTACTACAGATAGCGTTTTCCGCGCCATTTGTAGGATTTCATAAAACGCGCTGTGATAAGGCAGCAAGTAGAGTTGCTCTATGTTCTGTCGAAACTGTCTGCGACACGCTGATGTGATTCAGCAATATCGAAATCTGGCAGTTTCCGCAGAATGTTAACCACTTCGACTTTCTTTGTTCTGGCTCATATTGTTGTTCTTTCTAGTAAATTTTTAAAAACAATCGAAAACTTCGACTTCTTCAAATTATTTTTATGATGTAAATTTACAAACTTTTAGTAAAAAATTGCTTTTACACACAAAAAAAGCAGATGCAACTCAGTGCACGTGAAAGAAGTGAAACTTCTTTGGCAATCACTATACCTTTATAACGAATAAGTAATGATTGGTGAAAGAGAGAGTACGAGGGTTTTCAGGATTTATGTTTTCCAGTATATTTTATTTTTAGTACACCTAAGGAGTATTTAATACGTTTTTATGTAATTCAATAACAAAAAATGGTCAAATTTTTTTGGCTTCCGTTTATTTTTCCAAGTGCTTAAGAAACCGTAAATTATCAATAACCACAAGGAATTAGAATTAATACATAATAATACTTACTCTTATCATCATCATCATCATAAGGTCGTCAGTCCTATGACTGGTTGGACACGCACCTCCACTTTTTCCTATCTTGCGCTAATCTTCGTATTTCCCTAAATCTAGAGCAACACATATCCTTAACTATTTACGAATAGTAAACTAATCTAGGTCTACCTCTACCGTTCCTAACATCCGTTTCGGCCTCTAATATGTCTCTGACTAGACCGATCACTGATCACTCATCAGCGTAAAGCTTGTACGCAATAAAAAATTGTGAGCGAAACATAGTGTAAGCTTTCAGCAGAATTTCAGTCAACATATGGATCTTATGCGCTGCAGGAGTCCCTAGAAAGTAAAGTCTGACCATAAACTTAGTACTACTATTGGGATCCGTCAAATGGGAGGAGCCTAAAAACATGGCGCCGATTAGGGAAAATTTATCGTAGTTCCTAGTTTACCGTGTAATTTCCAAGTTTTTAAATTACGATAAAATGATAAGTATTGACACAATATGTGATTGGGCTGACACAAAGCCTCGGAAAGGAAATTTCGTTGAAGGTGAGCGTGTTTTTAATGCCAATCACATTATAAAATTCGGAAATAACAAATCCGGAAGCTAGCCTTCAAATTCCGTCAAGTTTACTGCCTACTTTTTACAAACTTCGGATTTAAAAAGTGATTCACGTTATATAATTGGTGAGGTGATTCTGGGTGATTTAAGCAATATCATATCAATGACTTGCACGTGCAAAGCCGATTTAAGAGAACGTTGCAAACACATTATTGCAACTTTGTTGTATTGCAGCAGGTAGGTTCTTAACCTCAAAATACTTATATCGTATCATTAGAATTGTGTTAAATCAATTACACAGGAATAAATAATTTCTCACTTTATAATTTTAGTATGATTCTAGTTTTAAATATTAAGGTTATGGCTGATGGTAAATACTTGCTGAAATATAATCATGTGCATTAAAATGACGTGAACAAATTTTTATTCCGGAATTCACTTCTTTGATACCTACTGCTTTCATCCAAGCTTCTATTAGTTTACTTTTTTCTCTAATTTTCCGAATATATTTTTTACATATATAAAACGGTTAGTTTTTATTGGAAAGTAATTAATGTAGGTGAAGAGTGAAGATCTATGTCTGAAGTGCTATTGCAGCTTTTCACTGAACATATTAACTTTTTATTTGATTTAACTTTAGAAGAAAACTTCGTCGACTCCATCATCAAAAACATTTTTACTTTTTTAACGTGTTTTATTATTTTAATAAACAATTTTACAACTTGCGTGCACAGTTCCTATGTAAATTTTTCCCTCATTCGAGTTATAAATTTTGCCACCAGATGGTGTATGCCCATTTCACGGATCCCAGTAGTGCTAGTTCCCGCATAGAGTATATATATGTACGTAGAGTGCTAATGTACCCTTAGTAGGCATTCGTTTGATCGATCGGTGAAAGTAAGCTATGTGAAGTTGGCAAATACATATTTCTTTTTTACGATTTATGGATGTTATTCAATTGTTCAAGATTTGCTGATGCAATTTTATTGTTTGTTGATAGTTCGTTTTTTGGTTGTTAACAATTTAAATATTGAATGTGAAGTTGGCGAATAAAAGTTTTATTTTATCACAAATTAATAACATCAAATCTTCCCAACTGCTTCCCAAAGGTCTCTATAAGTTGGGTTATCAGAGCATCTTCCTTTAGTTACCAGGTATAGATATTGCGTCGTCTGTCAGGCAAGCGCAACAGTCTTTTTCCTTTCTGTACTTGGTCTTCAAGATGTTCCAAACCGCCAAATCTACGTTTGAACTCAGACACGATACCACGGCTTATTCTGAGATCCTTTGAAACGCAATGGGCCAGAGAATATTCCTTGGATATAGCAAAGAGGTCTCGTCGGATTTCTTGCGTCACTCCAAATCTCCTGTTAACATGGGGGCCTTCCTTCATGAACTTTTAGAATGTGGACTCGGAAGGAATAGTTCTTAATAATCTAGCCCTCGCCTCTTCTTCATTTGTACCGGCGAATGGAGCCAAGCGATTAAAATGGACCACCTCCGGCTTCCCATTTGGAGTTTTCTTAATTCGGTAAATCACGTCGTTAATCCTCTTCACTATCTCGTAGGGTCCTTCCCAGTTCTGTTGGAACTTAGGTGATATTCCACTGCGACAACGAGGATTATACAACCAAACAAGATCTCCAGTTTGGTAACCACCTGCTGTAGCCTTGATATCGTAATTTTCTTTAATCCTGTCACTAGCAATCTGTGCATGCAGACGAACCGACTCGTGGATATCGTTAAGCTTTCTTCGGAGGTTGGTTACATAATCTTTTCCAACCAAGTCATCTCCTAGTTTACAGCTGAATTTGAGGTCACAAGGTAGTCGTAACTCCCTTCCAAAAAGGACACTGACAGGTGTTTGGCCAGTCGTTTCGTGGACAGATGAACGGTATGCCATTAAAAATAAAGGCAAATGGCGGTCCCAGTCCTTTGGTGATTAGACACTACCTTGGAGAGATATTTAATCAAGGTCCGATTCATTCGCTCAACTATGCCGTCCGATTGTGGATGGAGTGGAGTAGTTCGAGTTTTCTTTATTCCTAGGAGCTCGCATATTCCACGGAATATAGCCGATTCGAAATTACTCCCTTGGTCTGAGTGCAACTCCAAAGGCACCCCAAAACCACTGGTCAACTCTTTCACCAGCTCCTCAACTATGGTTTCCGACTCCTGGTTCGGAAGGGCATAGGCTTCAACCCACATGGTAAAATAGTCCATAACGACCACAATGTACTTGTTACCTTTCTCTGACTCTGGGAATGGACCCGCTACATCGATTGCGATTCGTTCGAAGAGGCCACCGACATTGTATTGACGCATTAAGTGCCCTTGACCTTTTCTGTAGTCCATTGCTCGCGGCACATGTGGTACACTTCTTACATCTTCTTCTTGACATTCTACATTCTTGACATCTTCCTTACAGTTCACCCAATAAAATCGCTCTCGAACTTTCCCAAGGATCTTATTCACTCCAAAATAGCCACCAGATGATTCATCATGAAGATACTGCAACACTTCTCTAACCTTGTTTCGAGGAATAACCAGTTGCTTCCTATCTTCCTCTCCATCTGGACTTTCAACAACACGCTTCAGGATGCCATCCTCCAAAACCATTAAGTCCCACTGAGCCCATAACGATTTTAGTACTTGGGTACAGGATGAAACTTGCTTCCACGTTGGCCGTTCTCCGTCTTTTTTCCATTCCATTATCTTCTTCAAGTCCGGGTCGTTTTCTTGGTCGTGTTTTATATTGTCAGGTAACCATTCGTCATCGATTATCGTGACGCGTCGAATTGCCTCTTCGTTCTTTTCCATTCGATCACACTGCTTGCAGTCTGCTTGACAAGATCTTCTGGAAAATGCATCGGCATTCTTGTGCCCGGTTCTAGGCCGGTGCTCTACGTCAATCATATTCCTGCACCTTCTCAATCCATCGAGCTACCTGGCCCTCCGGATTCTTGAAATTCAGAAGCCACTTTAAAGCTGCATGATCGGTATGTAGGGTGAATTTTCGTCCATACAGGTATTTATAAAAATGTTCTATACCTTTGACTACAACCAGCATCTCTCGCCTAGTGACGCAGTAGTTTCTTTCGGATTTTGATAAGGTCTTGCTAAAATAGCCG